GACAATGTGTGTGGCCACACATCAACAATAACAACGATAGCTTAGTGTCACAAGCACATTATGTGTGAGTTTAATGCATGTAAAACAGACGAGAGATAAAATTTAGAAGGAAGATATTATTCTTGTACCTGGTCTGTCTTTACAGATAGGCTGAGATAAGTTAGTGCTTATTTTTAAATGATTTGAATAAGTCGATAGCAACAGCGTATTATAAATTATGATTCTCGTGGATTAGTTTGTCTTTTTACTGCGAATTTGTGACTTCGTATTTTGATTCAATATACGTAACTGGATGTGTATTAGTTCATTATTTATTTATCAAGTTTGTTAGCAAACTTATTGATCTACCAAAAACATGTAGTTGTTTAGATTTACACAATCCTTTAACATTTAATAACAACCGACTGGCTAGTCATTTGTCGATTAGTGTTTGAAAAAAAATATTTTAATAAAATAACTTCGTTATTTAAAAAGAATACGTGTTCAATCTAGAAGCAAATGGGAGGTAAATATACGTATAATATTCTACTTCGATAAATCAGTTTCTGGGAAAATGTAAATAACGATTCTTAAATTAAGTTGTAGTACCGTACAATATTTTAGAACATAATACAGATTAAGACATGTTTATTTTATTTTTCACGTTCACAAAAACAACGTGTATCCTCCTCATGAACACTTTACATTTCAAACTCCACTCCCCTACACCAGTGCATCCCACCTTTACCTAAGCTCACCACTTAATTACACCAACCCACTACATCACTACACACACTCCCCCCCACCACTTCCTAACACATCCCATCCTTCACCCACCTTCCCAGTGTCCAAGTCCTTGTATTACCACCCACACTCCGGCCGTACAAAACCTGACATAAGAACACCGAACTCTTATAAGCTTTTGGCTGGTATTTCAGCACCTACAATCTCAACCTTTTAACAAACATATTGATTAGCAAAAAAAACAAAACAACAACAACAAATTTACGCAAATTTTAAACTGTGCATGTATACCTGAGTTATTAAAAAAAAAAACACCTTGTCAATACAATTTACCTTTTGCATTAAAAACGGTATGCACGTACTTTTTACACGTCTTTGTATGCCATTTTTAGAACAACTATTTGTTGGAACTAAAAGCTGTCTTTTCATTTCAGGATTTTGAAGTAAACTAAAGTTTTATCAAAATCGGCGTCATATTTCTAAATAAGTTTGACAGAACGTATCCTTAAAAATGGCCCCAAACGGTAAAAGTAGACCGACGAAGAACCACAACAAACCAACAACCAAGAAACCCATTTCATGGGGGGTTCCTTGGGATCCGTGGAAATCGAATATTAAAAAAACGTATATCAACGAGAATCCAGTTATACAAACCACGACAACAGCAACAGTAACGACCACCCTGTCAGGAGCTGGGTTAAAAGATAACTCCTCACACAACAAACAACAACCCTTTACGTCTTCTAACGAGATACCTATAATAGGAGCAGCTATCGGATCTGTAGCGTTTATCTTCTTGTGCGTCGGCATTGGAGTACTGATTTGGAGGAGGAGGAAAACAGCAAAGCCAAAACAATCACCCGCAAACGATGTTGACGCCTCGCATCCGTACTATCCAGATAGCTATGTGCGGGATGATAAACTTAAAACTATTTCTGCTCTTAATACAGTATGGTATACTAAAGTGAATGATTACTGCTATCTTAAAAGCAATACGAGAAAGAAAACTGTTAAAGAAAACATGTATACACTGCAGATAGTTTGGTCTCAGACCAAACTATCACACAATAACGTCGATCCACCATTTGCTGACTACAGTACTATATTCAGCGGTAAAGTTTAATGCACGCATTAATTTTTGCTTTCAATAATACCATGATGATGTTTTCTTTAACGTTTCTGCATGTAAAATAATTTGATTTTATAATAACCTATTTTAAAATAATACTAGCAATAGTACACTGGTCATGATTGTTGACATTGGTTGTTGGTAAAACTTAAAACTTTCACATTTTTACTAATATATATATATATATATATATATATATATATATATATATATATATATATATATATATATATATATATGTATATATATATATATATATATATATATATATATATATATATATATATATATATATATAATTATATGAAGGGAGAACAGAAATGCAGAATAAAATAAAAACTGACTGTAACGGCGGTACCTTGATTCTATGTAAACCTACGGAGTTATAGTACATCTACTGAAATGTAAATAATTTACCTAGAAATCATCAAATTGTCCAGTATGTTCCGCTTTTGTTTCCCTCACATGAGTCAGGTACCCACCAGGGCTGTGTCGACTCAGCGTGGTTCTACTGATTTAAAAGTGGATTCGAACTCGATATTTTGGGGTTAGGAGTCTTGCTCTATAGACTCTAGGTCATGCGATTATCTATAAATAGAGAATAACAAAATATAATCTTCCTTACTCAGTAACCAAAATACAGATGTAGAATTATATAATAGTTTGAGTGTACAATAATAAATCAATGTGTATATTACCATATTGTTAGTTATAATTTTATATGCACTCATATTATAAACAAAAAAAAACAATTAACTGTAACAGATTGGCTACATATGTTAAGATATTTTTTAGAACCTCTACAACATAATATTGAATACATATGTAACATTTTTTGTAGAACCACACATGTAAAAAAACTACATAGTACTCAATTACTTTTGTTTTTACTGTAAATGAAATTTGTTACAAGAAAACATTTTGACAACAATTTCCTTTCCGCCTTTTAAGTACTTCTCATGAAGTGTTACATCGGGTGGTGATGTTGGGTTCGCCTGATGACTGCGATTAATATAAAAATAAACACCCAATAGTAAAAAAAAATGTCATAACAGCACAGTGCCACTGGGTAGATTAACCATTTTAACATGTGTTGTGTTATACTGTACGTGGAAACCAACTCTCACAAAAGGGTAGTTATCGGCTCAAGAACAATCGTTCATTAGGATCCCCCGCCACATCGTTATTGAGGGGAAGATGCATTTGATAAGGAACCGAAACTTTGCAGCAGTTTTAGATTTTTACGTGTTTATATATACATATATACATATATACATATATATATATATATATATATATATATATATATATATATATATATATATATATAACCGCTCCTTCCCCGCTCCAAAATAATGCAAATAAATTCCTGGAAAAGCCCAAAGAAGTTTTATTTTTAACTTGAATGCTTTCATTGTGTGATATTTATGGGTCTTTCTCCCCTGTCAAACCGGTTTCTAGGTTTTAAAATCACCTGTAAGGTTCTCCAGTCTGTACATGGGGGTGTAAGTATTACCAGTCGGTTTTGTGGGGGTTTAAGTATTACCAGTCGGTTTTGTGGGGTTCCACAGTCTGTACATGGGGGTGTAAGTATTACCAGTCGGTTTTGTGGGGGTGTAAGTATTACCAGTCGGTTTTGTGGGGGTGTAAGTATTACCAGTCGGTTTTGTGGGGTTCCCCAGGCTGTACATGGGGGTGTAAGTATTACCAGTCGGTTTTGTGGGGTTGTAAGTATTACCAGTCGGTTTTGTGGGGGTGAAATGGTTCCCATCTTGTAATATACGAGGTAAGTGTTCACACCCAGTAATTTGGGGTGTTAAGGTGTTTAAATGACGTCATGTCTATAGAAGTATTCTTCCAGTAACAAGACTGGTTTTATAAAAAAGGCTTACAATTATTTATTGGAATGATTAATTTTAGGCCAAAGGTCTCGTGTCTAATCTAAATCAATACATGAATTGGTTTTTAAAGGCCGGCAACTGCTCTGATCGATTGGAGTAATTACAAGCAACAAATTACAGAAAGCTATGAGAAGTGTTTATTCCAGACTTTTTTCTTAAGGGGGGGGGGTTACTTGACTTTTTCGGGGAGGGGGGACGGATATAATTTTCCGGGGGGGGGGGTGGCGAACACTGGTAAAAGTATAAATTCCATTTTGTTCGGGGGGTGGAGGTGTAGCCCCATCTCACGTCGTAGATCTATACTCTTCTAGCCAGCATCCGAACCACTTGTATTCAAACATTCATCCTAAGGAGAAACTATATAATTACATAGGAATAAACGAAACTCATAAACTCATAAACACATGAGAAAAAACTTTTTCTACTGCTAAAAGTAATACTATACAGCAATACATTTTGTTTAATTAGGTCTTTTGATGTATAAACTGCTATGCTGTGATTTTATTTGTTTAAACTAGTAACTCATGAATTCAGTAACAGCATGTATTAGTAGTAAAGATAACGATGTGGCACAGCGGTAGAGCGCTAAACTACTAACACTAAAGCCTCGAGTTCGGATCCCGGGATCTAGTCTGTATGACTTTATGAAAACAATGGTGTCTGGGCAAAGTGCCAACCACACTGAAACAGATTAACTCTACTTCACCTGGGGAAATATATGATGAGCAGTAAAGTTCATTTTCGAAACTTAATTGCGAGCCACCGATTTATATAAATCCAATTATTTTCTACTCGAGCAGCGTATACATGTAAAGCATCCGTATTCGTAGCTAGGTTAAACTATTCATCTATGACATTAAACAGATCATTACATTATTGACTGAATTGATGATATAAAATGAAATAACATTTATACATTTTATAAGCAGCGTATACATGGAAAACATCTGTATTCGTAGGTAGGTTAATGTATTCTTCTTTGACATCATACAGATCATGATATTATTGACTGAATTGGTGAGATTACATGTCAATACACATGTGTTATATGGGTACATGACAGCAACCATATAAAGAACTGACGCTCAAGACACCCACAGAGTCTAGGCAGCTGAGTTTTACACCTTTAAATCATGAACCAGCAGAGTATGACGTGTCTATATTTGTGCATCAAACCGTATCGAATCCAGCGGTCTTATCTTACTACCCAGTGTGTTACATGATCATAGCTTAGTGGCCTTGTCCTGATACGTAACGTGTTCATCACATATTTGTTCAGTATATTTTATAGCGTATAATACATATACTGCTGTTTTAATGGTGTTTATAGCTTACTACCAATTTCGTTTATTGATTTTGGATTACATATTTTGACATTTCATATTCAGCATAATATTTAGACTACGGTAATTGATTCATAAAGTTAAGTGTTAACGTTTAAAATTACCAGCAACCACGACAAATTCTTTGAATATAACTTGCTCTGACAACATTGAATTGGTTTAACAAGCACAACGAGTGTCAAGTTAACAAGACAGTTGTGATAGTTTAGCAACAAGGAAGTTGTTGTTCAAGGACCTGTTGTATACAAGGTAAGCTAAGTCCTGGTTGGTGTTTATTTTTAAACCAGTCAATTTAAAGAGACGGACGCTTCACCTTAGCTTGGATATACTAATTCAAAAAGAAACCTCTAGTTACTTATTCAATTTTTAAAGTATTATCACTTTTTAATATTGAATGAAGTAAAAAAAAATGAATTTATTTTAAGCAGAAAAAGCTTTTATGCTATCCAGATAGTCATAAATGATACATCAACATGTCTCTATGACTTATTTACATAATTTATTTTACAATAACTATTAATTCAAACGAGCACATACATTAATCAAAGAAATATATACGAAGGTTGTAGAAAAAACGAGAATCGTACAAATAGGTCCATTATTAGAATATACCGTAAAGTTTTGACTCTCTTAGAGTATTGTCAATAATAATTTATAGAAATTTCTCTTTGTTTATAGATGTAGAACGTTTTTTATTTATAGATTAATGGCTAGTACAAATGTGTCCATTTTTTTCTTATCCTATTATGTAGAAAAGTAGATCTCTTTGATAGTTAACGTCTGGTTTTACATTAATTCCTTACAGGTGTGAAACTTTGGTTGGTGCATAAAACCCTACATTCTCGAGAATCAAACTGAGATCTCATTAAAAATGCCAGGAGGTCATGGGGGTCATGGAGGTCATAGTGGTCATGGTGGTTATAGTAGAAATGGTCCAGGTAAAATGCCGGTTACAACCATGAGACCCACTAGCCCGACCAGAAAGTACAAGATACCCTATGTCTGGCCATTTGTCCCATGGCAACTCAACCCTTGGTCCACTAGGAAACAGATCCCCACTGAGGCACCTGTTACAGAAACGACGCCTTTAGCACTGGAAGATACACCAAAATATTTCCGAGCAACGACAGAAGACAATACGATTCTCAACCAGTTTACAGAAATGAAAGACACGACCACTGATAAATCTGCTGTGACGGAGATGACATGGACCCCGTATCTTGACAATGGAATGTCATCTTTCAACGAAGGCTTTAAAAATGATTCTACTGATTTCTCTACATTTACAAGGGAATCACAGTATGCATCTGTCAACAACACGGCAGTGATAGCAGCATTCAGCGTAGTAGCAGCGTTGATCATTGTGTGCTTCATTGTTGCTGTCATCCTCTGCAGAAGGCAGAGAAAGGCTAAAGCAAACTTCAAACAAAATGTATGCCCCTATAAATCAGATCCAGGTTACTCTACACGGGATCAAAACCTAATCACAATTTCCGGTATGGTTGGAACACAATATGCCAAAGAGAACGAATACTGCCAACTTGGGAACAACTTTGATAAGAAAATTGATAAAAACGATAAGAAAAGCCAGGAACAGTTTGATCCAAGTCCCGGAGATCACATGAAGATGCCGATTGATCCTAGTTCGAAAATCAGCGGGAAATCTTAATTACATAATTACAATTTATTTGGTAGAAACTAAACACAAATATATTGTTATATTAGAAATAATAATTTTAACAAAAATAAGTAGACATGAAAAGAAATAAAATTAAGATAAAAGTAATTGAATTTAAGAAAACAAAGAAGTAAATAGATTATTGTAATTTTATTGATACTGTTAGTTAGAAACCAAGATTTACAAAAGAGTTTTAAAAACACGAACATATTTTAATGTATTATTATTACATTTGTATGAAAGCATGTGAACAATCCTAAACTTCTATACTATAATTCAAAGAACACGATCTTGTTTTAGAATCATTTCTTACTTATTAACAACGAGCATCAACTCATGTTTTAAATAATTCCTATATTGTTTTCTCAGTGTATAAAATGTTTTATGAATTTTTCAAATAAAATTATTCAAATTCAATATAACCAGGTGGTGGATATACTTCAATTACTTACATGTATTTTTTATTGTAATTATATGCCTTTCCCTATACCATCTAAGTTTACTTCAGTCTAATCTACACCAAATATTTGCGATAATTAATATGATTGAATTGTATGAATCGTAACTACGTTTTTATTCTTCTCGGCGCTTACAAATGTTATGTATTGTTTAAATTTCATTTGAAGAGTTTCATAATAATAGAAAATAACATGTAGTTATACAATAGTGTATTATGTGATACATAAACAACATATGTATTCAAATGTGTAATATTATATCAAGTTTCTATCAATCGCTTCATTTTGTTTTGCTTTATATTTGAGGGAAATTAAAAATAAAAATGTAAACGTTTTTCAGACTTTAAATTTATTTGCACGCTTTATATTAAAGTTTAATTTTCTGTACAGCGAATCGTTTTGTCTGACATTACAATGGTTAGAGTGTTAATTGAGTTAAGTAATGTATTAGTCATGAGTCACTTCTTAGTGTTAAAAATAAAAATGTAAAAACAAATTTAAAAAAATCATATAATACACAATACACATTAATCATTTAGCTTCGTAAAGCTAGTAATACATATGTAATCTTTATATACATTAAAATAAAAAAAAATACAAATTAGGTATATTTTTTGTTTACTTTCCATAATGCTTAGCAGAGATCACAATCTGATTTGTATTAGCTTGTACAATGTGTTATCATCTACATAGCTACGCGTCGTATAAAGAAGCTACAGAGTAGCCTACGTAAAATAAACAATTCAAGTAAATAGCTTTTGAATTACTGTTTTAGGCATCGTGGTATTGTGCTTAGAATGAGATAGAGTTGTAGGAAATAAAGCAGCAGAATGCTAAATTTAAACAATGTAAACTTCCTATAGTAAACGGTACACATTTTCTGTAAATATTGGCTTTACCTGCAGCTTAGTATAATGCACTAGAATATTCAATAGAAAATAGTACAGACAGTTGTTTTTTTTTCTTATAATCATATGTTAATATGTTAATGCATGGGAACATGTTTTACGTAAGTTTAATTAAGGATACAATGTGGTTGGGCATGGGCACGCTCGACCACTAACTTGAAAAACTCGAGTTTGGGTCTCGATCCGTAATTGAGTCTGCCGGACATTCCAGAGCCCACTCAGCTCTAATGGATACCTGACTCGCGTTAGTTAAACTATAGGAGGCTGGGAATAATGCTGGGCCCTACTAAGCCGAGGTCGAGAATCCTATAAACTCTACTTAGTCCGGAAAGATAAATTATTTTAGTTGCACAATGTTTCATATTTTACATATTGATACATAGAAAAGGTTACATACAGTATAACACAGGATATGCAGTGCAAAAAATAAAAACAGTTTTTAACCCGTGAAGCTAATCAATAAACACAGCGTTTAAACTAACACTATGTGAACGTAATTTATTCAAGATCAACTTAATAGTTTGTGAGCAGAAACGAGAACTAAAGAATGTTGTACCACGTGTGTAGAATTTTATTGGGAATTTTCACAAGTCTCAGCAACTTCACTGTTTCGTTTAGTGAACAGTGTAAAAGAAAAACTGTTGGTTGTGACCAGATGTTAGCAACTACTAGCAGTTATAACACTACAGCTGCATGGAAAGGCAACACATCATCTACAACTATTCAAAAAACACATCATCCAATGCCCACAACTATATTGATAAATTTGACAACTACTGATATTGATATTTATAATGTCGATATATATAGTTGTTGTTGTTGTCGTGATTACGGTTGTGTATAACATTGTAGGTGTTTTTATTTGTAGGCTTCACAAGAATCGTAAACTTGCGGGATCTTCTTTAAGTACAGTAAATTATACCGCGTCAGAAAATATATTTTGCCTTAAAGACAACAAAAATGTATTTTAGAAAACCATTTGTGATTGAAAACCCACCTTATAAATGATTATATAACATTTCAAATAATTATATTAGAAGTATAATAATACCTACAGTTATTCTACACTTAGAACTTAATTCTGCGAGTTACACCGAGCTAGAAATCGTCGGGCCAAGTCAAACATCCTGTGATAAAACAACCAGTCGTATTGTATACATAGAAGACAACCTTTCAGATAACGCTAACCACCAAGAGAGTCGTGATTGTATAAACCAGTCGGACATCAGTACAATATACATACGACTTGGAGAAGGAAGTGAACGAGTTACACACATTTACAATGACTTATATGTTGATTTGAACTAGCTCGTGTCAGGCTACCCCCAACTATCTGGACAGGAACATTTCATGTAACACTCATAAACATCGATCTTGCTCTTAACGATAAAAACTTTTATTTTTCTACCTAAAGTAAATTAAGGCACCACGACTGGATAGACTTGCCTAAATTAATCATTTTCCTGATGATGTACTAATGTGCAAATGTATATTTACACCGTGTGAATAATGGCTAGACAACAACATGTGTTTTAAAAGAAAATATGCATATTAACAAATAGATAAATCTCAAAATTAGAATAAAATCGATTATATTTCGAAAACAGAACGTTCCGGAATGATTTTTCATAGTGTATCAAAGATTATTGTTTAGATAAATTATATCAAACAGGCAAGCTTTTTTACTTCATCTTCATTATGGCAAGCCAAGATCGAGTGTTGCTTTACTTTACTTATACTTATCTCTAAATAACACTTCCAACAGACGGTGATTCTACCTAATACCTTCGTTTAAAACTAAACACCGAATTTTTTACCTTTGTTTATTAATCACATCTATAAACCTCATGGGATTATGCTTATCGTCATATAAATTTGTATTCATAAATCGAGATACTGTAAAGTAGACAACCATTTAATAGCGTTTTTTCTTAAGACAGGCTGATATCAAAAGAATGTACGGCCTTTGAGAAAGCATTTCTTTCAACCATAATGCCTGCCACCATACAATCCGTTGGGCTTGTTTTTCTTTCTCTACGCTGAATTCGCTTATTTGATGCGAAAAGAAAATAGAAGGACGCGGTATGTGGGAGGGGATGGGAAAGGAGAAGAAGGAAGAATCGGTTGACTGGCATTTTACGTACACAAGTGCTGGCATGGGTTTTTCTAAAGAACAGATAGAGGTCAGAACATATTTTTTAACTCTGTAAGGTTATGTTCACAAATAAAAGGGTAGTATTTTAAGCCGGATATTGTGCCGCTATGGACCAGAGTTATCGTAACCCTACATGGCACAGTTGAGAACATAATTTAATAAAAATGTTAACATCTTTTATATTTTTAAATTATTGCTATTTACCTAGTGAATGTAGCCTACTACTTACCAAACAATCATCATTGTACTGTAAAAACAATAAACATCATTCCAGTTATAGAATAAACTTTTTAGTGTCCCGAGTGTACCATTTAATATATTTTTTCTTTGAATTAATAATCAAAATGTTTATGTAAATGATCTACTTTATACATGATGTTGACATGTCTGTTTAACGTGTTTCTCTTACTAAAAGTATAGAAGCGGAGAAAACAGTTCTAGTACTTACATACTGTTTTTTTTTATGTAAAACGCTTGAGGTGAGGTCGTGATTATAGTTATGATGGCAGTGATGCTGAGAGTGATGGTTACACATCGGGTTTTGCTTATTCAAATACTACGACAATGAGTTACACGATCGCTGTTAGGTACCTATTTACGTGGAATTAAAACTATAGGAACCATTTCTGACAGGCAGTTTCGTTGATATTTTAGGTAAAAGAAACAATGTTACATCGGGTTGAAAAATGGTACTTTTCTATTATTTTTTATTAAAAGTTGTACTGAATAGTTGCTTGCTAGTTTTAATATAAGTGTATAGAATTACAATAAAAGATTATTTTTTTCTTTCCGAAAAAAAAGGTGTCGTTTTGAATTATAATCGCAATCGCATGAACGTTGAAAATACTAAGCTCTCTCTGCGAACGTACCTTTTTAGAACATGACGGTCCATGTGGTTGGTGAAGAAGAGTTTATGTGTTTCAGTGACCTCGGCATATGATGGGGTAGTGGGGTCAGCTCTATGCCCAGCCACCTTTACTTTCTTAACGAGTATTAGGTACTCATTAGAGCTGGGTGGACGTTTTACAGACTTGAACCCGGATTCGAACTCGGGTCTTTCATGGTGGCAGCCTCGCGCTCTAGGTCGCACCGGCCCATTTCTAAGGGATTACATATTTTTAAAATGGAATTATTTTCAATACAAGCTATGGAAATGCCGCAAATCATTGTTTCAAAAATATACCTAGCACTTTAATCATACCTAATCCTTGCAGGCAGCCATTTTTTTTCGTGTTTCCAAATACAAGGATTTGTAACGCATGAGTGATTACAAACTCTCAATGAGTGAAGGTTCATACCGTAAACACCTGCAGCATCCTGCTATATGAGTCGGGCCTATTCATACTTAACTTCCTTGTTAAACAATGAACATATTTTATTCAAACCTTGTCACAGTTATTGGAATGTTTATGGCAAAGTGACATGTTTTTCAATGGCAACATCGCTTTATACACGTGATAATAGCTCAGGCATATATAAACGCGTCTTGCTAAAAATACAGAACCAGAAATAAGGACGTTGTAAGGTCGTCAAAACACAAGAGCTGAAAACAAGCAACTTGTAAGTAAAGCTGTGTCGGATATTTTTGCTTGATTAATACTTGCAAACTAATTAATATGTCTTTACATCGTTTGTTGATTCTACATGTTTGAGTATTGTTAGCTGTCGTCTATTAAGTGTCTTTAGATAGAATTTTTTTGTAAGAATCGTTTTGATGCTTAGTAGAGCTTCCTTATAAAATTATATTACTATTTATAGGTATTGAGTTAGTAATATTTAAAGACTTTCATGGTAAACACCTTAAGAATAACGGGGGAGTATATAACATTATATCAGTATTTTCAACAAAATGCATTTCTAATGTAAGTCAAAATAATAGAGAAGTTTTATGGAAATTATTACAAGTTATAAAAAATATTATGATGAAACTGTTTCTAACATAGCCTAGCCAAGTGGTCAGATGAAATGATTCACTTGATATTGATTCCTCTGGCGTTGGTCTTACATCTCAAACCAGCGGGGTGCCAGCAAGCTCAGATGGTTTTTGAATACAATACAAATGTGACGGAATACAAACATATTTTATTTGAAAAATTCCTTTTCAAATGGTGAGTCATTAATAACCTAGTTTTGAATATATAAAGTCTTTGAGGATTATTTATAATTATATTGTTTTTCTATTTTTCTAACTTTAACTGAAATCGTGTTTAATAATTTTAAGTGTTTAAAAAGAAAGAATTATTTTGCGGCATATTAACGAATAATCAAATATCATTCTTTTATAACCAGTTCCTTCTACTGTTTGTTCAACAATAACACACATTGTGAAGCCCACTACAATCAAAATGAGCCGTACGTTCTTGAAGATCTACTTATTAGTGATACAGAAGAGGATCACGGTTTGTACAGCTATAGCCACATACCTAGAGTAAATTTGGCATCCTGCACCAATGCAGCCAGTAATCGGACATACCCATCTTCATTATGCAGCTCCTATCCGCTTCCAATTGTATGGACTGACAATTGTACATTGACTTGCGAGGCATTCGTTGAAAACAACAATGTTGTTGCTTATACATGGCGACTACCAACCACGGAAAACGTAAATAGCTTGAAAACAGTTTTGGCAACAATCGTTAAAACTTGGATGATAAACTCTGTTTACAAGCATCAATATAAAACAAATGGCAATCCAGTGTATTTAAAGAGTATCACAGATAATAACAAGAAGAAAAACAATATTTCTGTACTTGTTATATTAGTTTCTTTGTGTATTGCTTGTGTTGCTGAAGCAATAATAATTCGGAATAAAAAGAATAATAATGAGCAGAATTCTCACACTTTAAGTGACCAACGGAGTAATAAGAATAATGATAAGCAGAATTCTCACATTTCAAGTTACCAACGGAGTAATAAGAACAATGATGAGCAGAATTCTCACACATTAAGCGACCAACCACCATTTGAAGTTGGGAAGTCTGCAAATAACAGCAACATCCACAGTATTTATGACAACACGCTTTCCCAGCAGATAGAAATTGTCTACCACCTTAGCCTAGAAAGTTTTGTCAATCAGTTGAAAGACCCACAATGTGAATTTATTAATGTTGTGAGCGAGCAGGTCTCGAAACCAACCCAACCAAACTTTAACGATGACTGCAGCGATATTGAGTACGACAACATAAGCACAAATAAACAGTCATACTATTTCTTTTTAACGTATGAAATGCTTTGAAAAATTTAATATACATAAACACCCCATTCAAGTACGCAGCGAAGTTCATCTTTATTGTGTAGACTTTGTTGTTGACATAATATTTAAAACATGCTCAAGAAACCAAACACTCTAAAGCACGGGTTCCCAACCTGGGGGTCGCGACCCCCCTGGGGGTCGCGAAGGGCTTTCTGGGGGGTCGCCAACTGGTATACTAAACCTTAGTAATGAGAAACAAAAAATAAATATTTAGAAGAATATCTGAAATTCGGCTTTACTAACATCACTGGAAATGGAATAGAGAAGCAATGATTACTCAATACTGTACAAAGTTGTTCTCAGTCACGAGGTAATGAACTTTTCAAATCTAAAACGTCATTTGAGACGAGTCATTCCGAACACACCAAAAAAGATACGGAGTTATTTCGTCGACAAGAAGCTAGTTGCAAACGTCAGAGACTTGATCGAACTGGAAGTTTTCACGAAGGAATCACAGCATTAGTGCAAGCATCATATGAAGTCGCGATAGAAAATGTCAAGCAAAAAAAAAAAAAACACAATAGGAGAAAATCTCATCAAACGCTGCATGTTGAAGATGATGAAGTTAATTCTTTGGATTCCAGTGCAGTAAAGATGCAACAAATATCTCTCACTAATAATAATATTCAGCGGCTTATAGCAGACATGTCCGTAGATGTTAAATAACAAATTTTTATTGAAATCAAGCTTTCACCATTTTTTGCTTTTCAAGTTGATTATTCAACAGACTTGAGTTCGTGATCGCAGTTGTTGGTCTTTGTCTATATTCATGCGGATGATAGCAAAGAAGAGCTTTTATTTTTTAATGATAGCATGGAAAAAATAAATACGTTTTTCGAAACTGGATGATTAAAATGGGTTAAAACGGCTGTGGGGGTTTGAACGGATGGTGTGCCATCTATGTTTTGGTCAAAATCGGGCTTCCAGAAAACAGAAAAGATTTAGCTCTCTAACCACTGCCCTCGCCATCAAGACTCCATTGCTAGTAAAAGTCGTAACTTATATTAAATCTGGAGCTTTCAAAGAACTGTGCAAATACATTAATAAAGATCACGAGGTTCTGCTTTACTACACTACATCATGCTGGCTGTCAAAAGGAAATGTAAATCGTGTTGTGAAATTGAAAGCTGAAATCAAGTTGTCCTTCGAAGTACAAATGAAACAAGACCAGAGTTTCTTCCAGGCATCTCTTCGGGGGGGCTTAGCCCGCCCGAAATTTTTTTACCGCCCCCCCCCCCGCCCGAACGAAATGAAATTTATATAATTTATATAGAAAATATATACTTTTAACAGTGTCCGCCCCCCCGAAGAAAGTTTACCGCCCCCCCCCCCCCCCGAAGATTTCAAGTGCCCCCCCCCGGAGAAAAAAGTCTGGAAGAAACACTGAACAAGACCCCCTTGGTACACTTAATACGACATACCTAGCAGATGTATTCGAACATCAACATAAGCTTGACCTGAAGCTTCAGGGAAAATGAACGCATATTATCACTTTCCATGATAAATTTGGGGCATTTTTATCAAAGCTGCAAAAATAAATCTTGGAAATATTGCCATGTTTGAGAACTCTGCAATGTAGTAGATGAATCTGTTTGTGAGATAATTAACATTTCGAAAGAAGCGATTTCTGGGCATTTTGAATCTCTTTAAAACGAACTGCAGCGCTATTTTTCTGAGCTGAAAAAAGAAGAATCTGCATTGACGCATTACCCATTCTCTTCTTCCCTTGATGTTGCCAGCATTCCAGATGAATTACAAGATGAATTCTTTGATTTGCAGAATGATTCAGCGCAAGATGAAAAACTGCACACACAATTTTGGTGTAGTATTCACCATTCATACCCAAACGTAATATTGATTGACTTTTCGAGAATAGATTTTCAACACTATTCTCCGATTAAAAACAAAATTAAGGAATAAATTGAATGTTAATAATGAAATAGGTAGGCGTTAACAAAAACTTAACCGCGAATGTTTAGTAAATAACACGCAATTTTACACATGGTATTAAAACAGTTATCAAGGGTAGTTCACATTGAAAGTCTACTTGAAAATCTTAATTTAGTGCTTGTTAATTTCCATACTAATTTCGGCTTTTTAATTCTATGGGGGTCGCGGGTCACTTACTTTTTATAAAAGGGGGTCGCCACTCGAAAAAGGTTGGGAACCACTGCTCTAAAGACTACTATCTAGTGTGTATCTGTATTTTACATCCTGTGCGTTACACAGCTATACTTCAAATAGTTCTGTGCGTTACACAGCTATACTTCAAATAGTTAAGGACACGAAGAATGTTATGATATAGCCTGGATTAAATACAGCAGAAGCAAATTGCATCGCGGATAGGGAAGAATTGGTGACGGGTACTGAATTGGTTAAGCTAAAGCACACTCAAATGTGGCACGCCAGAAGCTTAAGTGGAACCCCCTGGGGAGGACGAAAGAGAGGGCGCCCATAGAAAATGGACCTGGTGGTGGCGATTTCTGTAAGAGTTCAAGATCGGAGGGATGTCTTGTGAGATTGCAAAATACACAGGCTGGGACCAAACAAAGTGTACGATCAAAACTGAGAACCCTGACTCCACAAGAAGTAAAATGGACTAAGTCAAATCACTTCAATACTATTGTTATTGTTGATTTAAATATTTTAAAATTGTGTTTAAATTTAAAGAATCATCATTGATTGACTGTATTCAAGAACTAGCTGGTTTTCAACAAGATAGGGCACTACATTATATATGTATATATATATATATATATATATATATATATATATATATATATATATATATGTGTTATATATATATATATATATATATATGTGTTATATATATATATGTGTTATATATATATATATGTGTTATATATATATATATATATATATATATATATATATATATATGTGTTATATATATATATATATATATATATTTATATATATTTATATATATATATATATATATATATATATATATATATATATATATATATATATATACATGTGTGTGTGTGTGTATACATGAACAAAACTCGACATTGATGGCAAATCAAGTAAAAACAACACATTAAATATTTTTGAGAAAAAATTTTAATTTTGAATATTATTTTTGAAAAAAAAATGTGAGTACTGTTGTGTTTATTAATATTTTGTCTAACTTGAAACTACTAAATGATTGTATATAACAATCTTAATTTATGTTAAATAAAGCCAAAGATAAAGATATAGAGTCCATTACGTCAAACTAAAGAGATGATTTTATCTGTGAGGTCGCTGGCACAAGGAGATCTGTTTGAGAGAACAAAAAATGCAGTTAAAGAAACCATATTTTATGAGTAATGCTTTAAGCGTTGCCTAAAATTGTTGTTTGTATAAAATCGTGTAGCTGTTTCGATTGTCTGGGATTTTAGAACATCATTTATATATTTGTATTATATTATCTTAATCATAATCAATCCATTTTCTCACAATGCAAACCATTCTTGTTTTAAGTTGTGTTTTAAACTGTCGTTTCTGAATATTATGTTATACTAAAGTTTACTTCTGTTTTATATATTTTTTATTTTGTTTTTAATGTTTTCTAACTTACGTGTTAAGTAATAACATAATTTTGAATGTTTAATATTCTGAATCTAAAACCCATACGAATTCTACTTTATATATAGAAACACATTTAACTACAAATCAAATATTTTGAAGTAACGAATTTGTTGTAAGTAAACAATTTAATGTATGCAATTTACCATATGGCACTAGATTTTAATATATATTAAAAATGTGTAAGAAGGAACAATGTATAATTTATATTTCAGATAATAAATAGTGAATACACTATACTGCTGTAAATAATAAGTTAAATATCAACATGACCTAAAACCTCGCCATAAGTACACGAAGTTGTGGTCAGTGATGTGGTCAGCCAGTGTTACTCCCCACCTACTGTCAGCTACCAACTATTATGGCTGAATAGTGGCATACACAAGCCTCGAACGTAGGCAGGGTACAAGGTTTTCAACTTCTCATACTACACACCACTACAATCAATGCTACTCATCTAAATAATTTTCTGATATTTATTGTAACACTTACTCCCATGAGTCACTGCCATCAGTATCAAACAACAAACCACTACAATCAATGCTTTTCATTTGAATAATATATTAATATTGTTTGTAAACTTACTTTCATGAATCACAAACGTTAGTATCATACAACATACCACTACATTCAATACTACTTATCTAAATAATATATCAATATTTAATGTAAACTTACGCCCATGAATCTTTGCCTCTTAGCCTTTCTTGCAATGTTTTTCTAAAATTACAACGCAAAACAATTATGTGAGATATTATTTGTATTGTAATTTAAATACTGCTTCATTAAAACTCTTTTTAATAAAATAGCGAAATGTAGTTAAACAACATTTACTTGTCGTTGTGGTAGTGGTTGCTGACTCAGTTGTGTCTTGAATTGCTACAACAGATAAATTAATATAAGCAATTGATAAATGAAATTGCTATGTCACTTTGATGTTCAGTAAATTAAATATTTCCTTAACAAATAAGCCAATAATAAATTAAATAGCTAAGTCATAATCAATACACATTGATATTTAGTAATTAAATATTTCCTTCCTAAAACGTGTCTGTTTTACATATTTCGATTCTGGTTTGGTTCCACGTTCCGTGCAGAGCTTTTTCTAGGCATCTCTCCGGGAAAGGGCTGAGCGCCCCCCCACCCCTCTCACCCCCGAAGAAAGTCTACCCCACCCCTTTCCACGAACAAAATGAAATTATATAGAAAACATATAATTTTAACAGTGCTCCCACCCCTGCCATCCGGTGTTAGAGCCTTGTCGTGGCTTGGCAGCTTGTGTATCCTGACCACCCCCAGAGCTATACCAGCGGGAGTGTAAACTTCTAGTAGGTTCAACCAAGCTAGGAAGGTCTGCGCGGGTAGGGATCAGACCAACGCTAACACCCTGGTCCTACAGGTTGGGGGTTGAAACATAAGGCTAGCAACCTTATCTCGTAAAAAAATATACCGCTACAGAAACTGCAAGTACACAAATCCAACACCAACTTGGTCGAGGAGGATCCTCTCTAGAAGAGCCCATGATGACTACTAGTGAAAGAGCAGCCCAAAGCCGAGTCCGCTGGAAATGTGTAGTTGCAGCCATTTGCTCACCAGGGGCCACAAATGGAATGATGATGAGTGTCAGCCCCGCCCTCCCACCACGAAAATATCAAGTACCCCCCAGGAGAAAAAAATCTGGAAGAAACCCTTGTTCCGTGGAACGTTTATATGTATAAGATATTCATTTAGTGGTAAACAAAGTAACTGCATTTTCAACATGTAACATATTTTTAAAATATATAAAAAAAAACATGTTTATCCTTTCTATTTTATCCAAACTACAACTTCGCATTGCATACAAAAACGGTTATATGTTTAAAAAATTACATACCCCATGAGCAGCGAACATAACCATGCATGTTTCGGCTTCTTGTGGTATCAATTGCCTGGCTGCCAATTTTCAGTTTGCAAACACCACTCACATAATTATAGCCAATAGACTGTGGGTCGTTTAAGGAAAGCTGGTAACATGCCTTGTAAAGAGAAGTATTAACATCAGCATGTTGTTTTTTTAGTGTCATACACACACATGATTTTACGCAAGGTTGAAGATTGTTACAAAAATGTTTTTCACCACATAAGTAAGAACTTCACTTTATCTTTAGGGAGAAACATATTTAGAATTATTTAACGTAACTTAAATTTATTTTATTCGAGTTGGCTTCCAGAGGTACGTTCTCGTATGTTTCTGATAATTCAATCAATAAAAAAGAGAGCTTGCTTTGTGTCAGTTTATGCAAGCTTTGCTCTGGTCATTTCGTGTATCCTGTCACCCCCCCCCCCCCTTCAGCATTTCAAAGACATCAATACCCCGACATTAATCCCCCGACATTAATCCCCCGAGTCAGTATTATATAGAGGAAATCTAATGTTGAGGACTAGATATTAACATTAAGAAAAAGAACGAACTTAGAAAAAGTAGTCATTTATTAATTAAACTTTGAATACCAGGAGAGACTGAGAAATGCCGAACAACAAGTGCAATAACTGTTGTTGTGTATTGCGCCGGATGTAAGGACATGCATGAGGAGCTGGGGGCAGCTTAGCTTCAGAGGCGTAGCGAGGTGGGGAGGGGGGAGACATATGTCCTCGGGCGCCGACCTTAGGGACGCCAAAATGGGTTAGAAAAACAAATCGATTGGGGGGGGGGTGCAAATCGCAAGTTTGAGGGGGTGGGGGGTGCAAATTCAAAGTTTGTCCCCGGGCGCCGGGAAGGGTCGCTACGCCTCTGCTTAGCTTTGGAATCTTCGATGAGAGTAAAAATATACTGAGTGAAGATTTACCAGGTACTGTGGAGAGTAGTGCTCATTTCGGCGAACAATCGAAGAAATACGCAACGTGCTTAGATCCTCTCACGTCCAGTCGATGATGTAGATATGCTCTCAAGGTTGAGATAAAATAAGCGCCGTGATTATTTCATCCACAGGGTGTAAGAAGATAAAAGCTTGCGTATTTCCTCTCATTATGAAGACATTGTCGCAAAAACACTTGTACATAAAATTTAGATTTTTAAGTAAAACCATACGTGTTGCATTTATTCAGTTAAATCTCGTAATAAGTGTTTTTAAATACAAGCTTTACTATAATTTAAAGCAAATTCCTACCCCAAAGCCCTAGCCCTAAATCCCTAACTCATAACCCCTAATTATAATTGGAGAAGCCGAGAGAGTTTAATTATTTGGGTAACATTTTACTTCAATTCTAATGTTTATTTTAAATGGGCATTTGTTATTTAGAAACAAGATTGAACTATTAAACAAACAATTTAAATATTAGTTTTTGCTTTTCTAGATTACATATCTACCATTTTTAGATTGATTCGAATTGCAGGACTAAGTCTTTTGAAAAACTATAAAAACTAGCAAAGCACACTTTGAAAATGATGGTCAAAACAGAAACATCAGTCGATAAGACTTACAGCATGAGTGGTGCTAGCTCCAAATAAAGGAGTGAAGTACGTCTCAAAAGGTGTGCAACGTGCTGGGTAGAAGGAAAAAATACAAACGTACATTACTTATGTAATATATATATATATATATATATATATATATATATATATATATATATATATATATATATATATATATATATATATATATATATATATATATATATATATATATATATATATGCATATACAGTGGTTAGATGTACCCTTTTTACAAAAACATTTTTCTTTTCTCCTATAGTATAGCCCGTATATTAATAAAACAAATGTACACATACGTATGATAACAAGATTAAAAACAAGAAAATAAAACAATCTTGCTTTCTTTGATAAAAGTTTTGGTCAATAAAATATGAAATATATTTCGTAAGCGACGCAAGCTTTTATTAGAGAATACAAAAGTTTGCTTTATTTTTTTTTATTTTAAGTTCGTTTAAAGGCTTGCTATTATAAGTTGTTTGTATGTGTTTTCCAATTTTTACTGTTTCGAATACTAAGTATACAGGAAGTATTGTAATCGTTTTGCACCCCCAACCTTGAGTTGGAAAAACATAGTTTTGGAATTGTGTCCGTATGTTGTGTGTGTATGTCTATATGTATGTATTTGTGTGTTTGTGTCTGTGAACACGATAACTTGAGTACCGTTACAGTTAGGTTGATGAAATTTGATTTATAAGTGTTATATAACATTTTTAGTTCTGTATCAGCTTTTCAGTGATTTCCGATAACCGAAAGTGAAACTTTTTCTACTTTAAGATTTTCAAACGATTATAACTTGAGTACTGTTTCAGATAGATAAACGAAATTTCACATATAAGTAAAAATCTATTTTTCTACATTCTGTCAAATTTTGAGTAATTTCCGATAACTAGAACGAGTAATTTACGCTGGTTCCGATTTCTCAAAAAAATGCATGTGAATTTATAAAGTACTAATAATATTCCGCACTATTATACACATGTTGTTTGCTGTTCACTTGGAGCGCAATTCCCTTTTCTACGAGGTGATATCATATTTAAAAAAGTTTAAGTAATTAAAATGGATAAAAAATCACGTCTACATCCCGAGTTACCATTCCCCGTTGTGTTATAAAAAGAATATTTCAGAAAGTTTAGGGGAGATAACTCCCAATTTATTTTTCATTCGTTCAAGATGAAAATGACAGTACACAGGCTAATATTTTAAAAGAAATATTCGCCTTAATGCCCGATCATAAGTTGTCTAAAAAAACAGTTATCTCCCTTTAATAAGGTGGTGGTGGAAGCGACTCAGAGAAATAACAGATTAAGGTTATAATCGCTTGAAATTCGTTACTTTTTTAGAAATTTAAAAAAAAAATTGTATGATTAACGTATCTAATTTGATTAAAACATTGATATTCTTGAATTGTTATCAAATAACAAAATAAAATGGGTCTACATTTAGTTATAGCTGGACTGCTAACCCGTTAGCCTCGAGTTCGAATCCGGGTTCAAGTCAGTAGACCGTCCCTGAGTCCACCCAACTCTGATGGGTACCTAACTCATGTTAGGGAAAGTAAAGGCGGCTGGGCATAGTGCTGACCACACTATCTCTTCATATGCCGAGGTCACAGAAACAAGTGAACTCTACTTCACTTGCCCCATAGACCGCCAGGTTTGAAAGGGAAACTTTACTTTTACTTTACATAGAGTTATACTTTTGCAACAAACCCACAAACAAACAAACAAACAAACGTTGTGAACTAAGTAAGAGATTGTAAAAAATAATGGTCTAAGTCTGATTTAAGTCAGATGAATATGAAATAGACATGATAGCGAACGTACGTTCCTCGTATGGACAAAACACAAAGGCTTTGGCGTCTTGGTTGATTGAAGTGTCAACCAGGTCCTTACTGTTGTAAATATCGCATACGCCATTCGTAAAATTGAAGAAGAAACATTTGGATGTTTGTGCACAAGCATTATAGCAGTCCTGTTAAATATAAGAGAATATATGATTTAAAAAAATTAGTTTTTTTTTTACAGTATGAAGTATACTGGCGACCATATCAAAATAATGTATACATTTCATCTTCGAAGACCCGAATTCAGTTTAATCCTAACATATATTTACATTAATTAAGTATTTGAAATATACATGGACAGAAGATCGGTCTCAATCATTTGAAAGAAACTACAATTTCCATAGCTTCCTTGTGAAAAATGTAAGCTTTTAATCGGCAACTATGGATAAAACAGTGGTTCTTAACATTAGTGGAGGTACCGAATCCCAACAGTTTCATTTGCGAATTTATGGAACCCTTCATAATAGTTCTATTTTTTAATGTGTGTGTTTTCATTGTGTCTTTGAATGAGTAAATGTGGGTTCATACGATAACATGTGCTAACTCCGTTAGGTGAACACAATTTCGTGTTTAATATTGTATTATAACAACTCTATTCCCAGGTTCTCAAAAATAAATTAAACTTTTAAATTTTAAAAGCAGCCAGTTCTAAAAACAATTTTACCCTAGAGTTGCTTTTTTCTTTCTTTTTTTTTGGAAAAAAACTAGGGTATTGTTACAAACTTTATTAATATTTCTATGGTTGCACTGGAATTACAACTACAACGCTTCCAGGTAATGGAATATGTTCCGTAAAAAAGAAAATCACCAAATTTCAGGTTTTTCGTCGTGATGGGTTTCTTGCACTTTTGGATATTTTGTCCATTTTTGTTTTAAGAAAATAATAACTTAAATGTGGAAAAAAAATGTGTATGTGTTTAAAATACCATTTTTATGACCCTGCAATTAAAAAATAATATTTTTCCCAACCTTACAAACTCTCAATGAACATTATTATATTCTTCATCATATTGTATTTTGGCATCATTGGAAAGCTGTGTTTCTCAGGTATTTGATAATCTTAATTTATATCATCTCGGAAACACCCAAAGCTTACAATCGGCTTTGCAGTTTACTTTTTGCTGCTTTTCTCATTTCGCTGATTTTTAACACTGAAAACCGACTACTTTTTTTATTTATTAAACAATGCCCACCATATTTTAAGTAGTTGTTCTTCAAGTGAAAATACAACTTTTTGTCACGAGGGAATTGTGATGGCTTTCATAGAAAAAAGTAGGCCTAAATGGTAAATAATATGCAAATTTTGAAACTTTTAAATACTAAAAAGGGTACGATTTTCTAGACCTTGTAAAATTATTACTATTAGCTATTACATAAAGTTGCCGTGGAAATGTTTTTAATATATACTGAATTATAAGCAATTTAAATTTGATTTCTTAAAGTCCATAAATTAAAAAAAGCCTTCGCTTTTTTAAAAATACCGAAACATTCAAAATGTCTGATGTTTTTGTTTGGGTTTTCATGATAACCAACAATTTCTGTTGTAGGGATTAATATCCTCCCAAGATATGCGAGTTGGGGTGGGGAGGGTGAATAGAATGGGTGTGTGATTATTTCTATTGTATGTCTTTTTATTTCAATCGTTTAGATTCTTACTCTTAGTAACCTAAATAAGAGTGTTTATATAAAAAAGTAGGGTTGGTTTAACTATAAATAAAACATGATGGTTCAATTATTTCCTTGGCCCCAAAACTGCTACAAAATAAAATATGAAAACTTCAACTGATGCAATTTTCCATGTAACATGACAAGCGTTACACTTTATTCCTAGGTAAAATGAAATAAAAGTAGATTAATAGTGGTATTGCTGATAACTATAAACATCTGCTATTTTACTAGACGTTTTATTAATACTTGCTTCTAAGTGTAGGCCTTCTATCGCTTCTATTTTTAAATGTAATATACACAATTTCTTCATCCGCTAGAAAGCAATACAATGCATGCAAGTGGTATTAAACTTTGAAAATAAATTAACATATGTAAATATTTTTAAACTTTTAATCATATTTTTAGTTATCTGGGTTGAAACATTTTATTTACAATTTGATCATATTAAAAAAATTATAGATGCAATAGAATAAATATTGAAAACTTGAAACGAGGGTGTGTACCTGCAAAAATATTTTTTTTTCTCAAAACTTACTTTGAGAAATGTATCTTTTAAAAAGTAATTTTTGAAAAACCTGCATCGAGAAATTTGCTCGTAAAATAATAGCTTTTGAAAACAAACTTACATCGAGAGTCGTAGCTGTAGAACGAGAAGAATCAGACGTGATATCTTGGTAGGATGTACATTGGCCTAATAGGAAAAATAAACAATTGTCACACACTTGGACAAACAGACCCACACACTTATATATGTATAAGTTTTTGTGTGTGACTTTTTAATTTTATTTTAAAATAAATGTTTTTGTTAACTAATATATATATATATATATATATATATATATATATATATATATATATATATATATATATATATATATATATATATATCGGTAGTAATAATATATCTTCTATCTTCTAATTATTCTCGTTTGTGCCAAAGACACATGGGGCAGATGAAGTAGAGCTCATCTGAATTGTGATCAGCAGTATGTCCAGCCGCCTTGTTTCCCTAACGTAAGTTAGGTACCCATCAGAGCTGGGTTAACATAGTATAGTTCTTTGTATAGTATTTATAGTTACATTTTAAGTTCCACCGATTTGAACCCGGATCCCAACTCGAGACTCTCTGGTTAGCAGTCTAGCTCTCTACCGCCAGGCCACGCCGGCCCCAATAGTATATTAGATATGTGTTAACATATTATTATTCTTTGTACATTGTTTACAGTTACATGTTAAGTCTTTCTTTGGGGTTATAGTAACGAAACATTATGATGCACAGGGATCTGAGTTAACGATATTCAGCTGAGCTGCATCTACTTTTACCCTTCTACTTACTTTGGGCATAAGGTATGATGAAGAGCATCACCACAAAGGTAATTAGATTAGTTGTTCCAGAAGACATGTTCGTAGATTAAATGATCTGCAGATTGGAATGTTCTTTTTGTTGAAATTATTTAAAAAAACAATGCTCGTAAAAGTATTTTTTTTTCTCAGCAGCTTTTACAAAACAGATATGCATAAATGGTGACAGGACAAAGGATCTCAGACAAATGATCTTAGACAAAATATCTCAGACAAAATATCTCACGGACAAATGATCTCAGGACAAATGATCTCAGGACAAAAGATCTCAAGGACAAATGATCTCACGGACAAAAGATACCAGGACAAAATATATCAGGACAAATGATATCATGGGCAATTGATCTCAGACTAATTTCTCAGACAAAATATCTCACACCTAAATTTTAATAGTGTATTGGATGATTTTAGTTGATCTGAACATTTTTTTTTATTGACAGTCATATGGTTTTGTTTAGTATGATTAATAATGTTTATAGGCCTATATAATAAGTATAAGAAATATTTGCCGTATAAATGTGTCATATTGCACTTAATATTTTAAAATTAAGATTACTAATATAGTATGCGAAGACTAAAGAGTTTTTTTCTTCAATAGACAGCGTAGGTGGGCTTGCAATATTCTACCATGTGATGTGGACAAAACTAGATCAAAGGGAATGAAATAATAATAAAGACACACCTATCACGGTGGCCGCCCGATTTGATTGCAGAGACGCCTTTAGGGAAAGACAACCGCCCTCGATGGACAGTACAGCTAGCATCTAAAGTCAATAGTTATGCGTCGGTCACACCTTTGTGATCTGGTGACAGATGCTTATTTAAACATAGAGCGGTCATCGCGGAGCTAAGTTTGTCGTAGTGTGCACGCAAACAAAACAGTATTAGTGGTGATTTCGTTACCTCGCAGAAAGGTTTTAGGACGTTAGATTCTTGTGATTTTATGTATATAAAACCAAAAAAGTGGAGCAGCAGGCAAAGAGATTTGGAAATGTGAAGTTAAAACATGTCGAGCAAGAGTTCACACAATAGATGCTCACATAGTATTGGAGAGGTGAGATCCTATCGATGTACCTGCCAGCAAAGAAACGTAAGCGTTATGTTTATGTTGATAATGCAATAAAAACAATAGTTTTACGTTACGAACCTGAAGATCCATTTACATTTTTGAAAAATATGTCGCGTGTTTTCAACATTAATGTTGTATAAATAACTTTACTTTATTTGTTTTATACATTGTCATTCATCAAAACATTCAGGCAGAAAGAGTAAGTTTGTTTTTTTTTTGTTTTTTCTTTATCTAATCAAATGCTATTAAAAACATTAAGTTTAATAAATCTTTTGATGCTTTGTTAAGTTTAAAATATTAATTTTATTCACAATTATTCTGCGTAGAAAAGTGAACAAACCCATATTGACATTCAATAAAAAAAATTCAAATCAACTAAAATCGTACATACTATTAGAATTTTGCTGTGAGATATTTTGTCTGAGATATTTTGTCTGAGATCATTTGTCCTTGAGATAATTTGTCCAGAGATATTTTGTCTGAGATCATTTGTCATGGAACCGCAGAAATATATGGGCCTATAGTTGTACATGTATTAGTAAAGCTTTTATTATATAAACGTTAGCTTTTGCTAATATAGCATCTCAAATAATGCGCTTGATATGCGTTGAGTTTTACAATTGAATGAGAGGTTAGTATTGGTGAGCAATATTTGTATTTGTTTTTTGGGGTTAAAGCTAAATAATTCATTACAATATATATATTAAAATAATATTTGCAATAAAGCTATGCTCCGATAAATTAAAAAATAAAAAAAATTAAAAATGTATTTTTTCTATATTTATTGTAAAAAACAGCCAAACTCCAAAGCCACCAAAATTATAAAAAGAAAAAAAACCTTAAGCAGTATAGTTAAAAAAGTGTTTAACTATGTTTGCTAATTATTCTAATAAATATATATTAAAGACAGGGGCGTAGCGAGGGGGGGGGGGGCGGGGGGTGCGGACCGCACCGGGTGACACCATTTTGGGGGGTGACACCAAGGCAAAAAATAGCAAAATATATAGAGAAAAACTTGAGGGGGGGGGGGGTGCAAATTGAAAGTTTGAGGGGGCGGGGGTGCAAATCGAAAACTTGAGGGGGGGGGGGGTGCAAATCGAAAGTTTGAGGGGGGGTGCAAATCGAAAACTTGAAAGTTTGTCCCCGGGAAGGGTCGCAACGCCTCTGGGGGGGTGACACCATTAAGTGCCGCACCGGGTGACACCCGACCTCGCTACGCCACTGATTAAAGACACTGCTAGAG